ATTGGATCCTGCACAGCGGCGGGAGCGGGAGTAGGCCAGTGCAACTAAAAGCAGCCTTTTCCATCAAGGCATTCGTTGAAGACAAAACTCATTACCTCAGTTGTTTTTTATTTTTCTAATGAAGTCATGTGTCTTAAAAAAATAATAATAATAAATAAAACCATACTGTAGGGGCCAAGGAGATGGCTCAGTAGAATAAGTGCTTGCTTGGCAAGCTCAGGGGCCTGAGTTCAATCCCTCGTTCTGCAAAAAAAAAAAAAAACCATACTGTAGGCTTAATTTTATGGAGTATCTATCCCATAACATAGTCTATTTGGAGTAAAAGCCCTCAGGTGTACAAATTAGCCCTGAGCAAGGTTTTCAGGATTGTACCTGTTCAGATATTTGGCCACTTGGCTATACAGTGTCTTCAGTGTTGTGGAATGGCATGATTAAGGAAATTTAGAGATCTGGTTAGTCCTGACTTTACCATTCTTGTTTCTGAAACAGTGTCTCTGTAGGATGATAGAGTTATACTTCTATTTTGACTCTATAATTATAGAATTTCACATCTGGAAATGATTTTTTTTTTTTTTAAATTCGAAAGTGTTGTAGCAATGTTAATTTCTTTTTTTCTTAAATTTTATTTATTTGTGTGTGTGTGTGTGTGTGTGTGTGTGTGGCCAGCTCAGCCCACCAGGGGGCAGGGCTGGCTGGCATGTGGTGCTGGGGGATTGAACCGCAGTCTCTGTGCTTTGCTAAACTTGTTCTAAGTAGGTGCTTTAGACCACTGAGCCATCTCACCAGCCCTGGAAATGATTAATGATCATGAAACCCGAGACTTATTTTACATGGAGGTTGAGAATCCCTGACACCAAAATCTGAAATCTGAAATGTCCAACTTTGAAACTTCTGAGTGCTAACATGATGTGACAAGAAGTATATGTGAATTTTGTGTTTCGTCTTATATCCCATCCAAGATATCTTATTATGTATGTGCAGGTATTGTAGAATCTGAAAAAATCCAACATCCGTAACAGTTATGGTCCCAAGCATTTTGCTTAAGGAGTACTCAGCCTGTTTAAGGAAACAAAGGAGCAAAGGTAAAATGATTTATTTGCCTAGTACCTCACAACTAGTATATAGCAGATCAGGAATAATTTGGGGCCTTTTGACCTGTTCCTTTTATAGGGAAAGTCATGAGATTCTACAAAGGACTTGCAGAAGTAAAGTGCTAAACACTTTAAGTGGCTTTGCCTGTAAATTCTATTTGCAGTTTCATTGTCCCTAAACATAGTTGTTTTCATTACATTGATAGTGCCTTGCTTGTTCTGGAGTTCATACTTGCTGATCAGCTTCAATTCTTGGTCAAGGCGGGACTTCTCGAAGGGCCTCTGCAGAGTTATGTAGGTTTTCCGACAAATGCAGCTCCTCACCATGGGCGTGTTGGCTCCGTGTGCCCGGCTGTGCCAGCAAGCCAATCTTGACAACTGAGAGAAAGGGCTATACTTCTTTCTTTGGAGTCTTTTATTTCCTTCCAAGAATACTACTTAGGAAGAAGAACTTTTTACAAATCTAGATGCCTGTCAAAATCTTGACTTCTCTCATTCTGAACTTCAAGTCTTTTTTTTTTTTCATTTTACAAAGAACTTTAATATCGAAAAACACTTTCAGCAATCCAAATCAGATTCAAGGCCATGGTTGAAGTTCTACAGGGAAATGGGGAGCCGGATTTCACAGGATAGTGGTCACTACTCTCGTCACATGTGCTTGCAGCAGGAGACATGACATGGGTCTCAATAGAGGCTGGTCTTTTTCATGATGCGCAGGAACTCCTCGTTGACCTTGCCATCTCCATCTCAGTTGGCTTTATCATTCATCTCCTAAAGCTCCTCATCGGTCAGGTTCTCGTCCAGCTCCTTGGCCATGATTTCTGAATGATATTTTTCCAGTTTCATCATCATTGAAGAGCTTGAAAGCTTTCAGGATTTCTTCCTTGGTATCTTTCTCAGACATTTTCTGAGTCATCACAGTCAGAAAGTCACTGAAGTTCATTTCGCCTGTCCCCTCCTTATCAATTTCACTTACCATCTTGAATGGAAGCCCATGGCAATGAAGCCACCTTTAGTTCCTTTACATCGATGGTCCCAGTCAAAGAGATCAAAAGCTTCCCGGATTTCCTGGTTCTGCTCTTCAGTCAGCTCTGGCTTAGGACTCATCCTTTTTTCTTAGAGCACTTGACACCATGTTTGCCTTTTTAAAATTGGAGGCCAGGCCGGGGAGATGGCTCAGTAGGATAAGCGCTTGACTGGCAAACGCAAGGATCTGAGTTCAATCCCCGGTGCCACAAAAAAAAAAAAAAAAAAAAAAAATTTGGAGGTCATTGCAGCCGGACTCCAGGGCCATTGTTAAGGTAACAGCGTGCACACCGACTCGGCACTGTGCTCACAGCCTCGCTTCCCATTAGCGCTGTACTTCAAATCTTACATCTAAATTCTAACTGCATTCTTTTGGCTTAGTACTTAAGGCCAAATGACTATGTCTTTTTTTAATAGTTGCCTTGACTCGCTTTGATGGGTTGGCAGTGGTGCTTCCTTACTTGCTGCCATAGGTGGCTAACACATTTGCTTTGCTTGGCAAGAAACACCTGAACCCTGGATGTTTGATAGCTACTTCAAGCAGCCCTTGATTCAGTCTTGGAATTGACATCCCTGTTCACACCTGGTAGTGTACCTTCCAAGGACTGTGAAGGCATTGGGGCCTGCATTGATTGAGTCCAAGAATTACTCAAGAGAAAAGAAAGTTTTATTCTGTTAATTTTGCTTATACAATTTTGTAAAGGTCTAGTCAAGCAGTGCACTTACATACAAAATAGAAAAAAAAAATCAAACTGTTTAGAATGAAGAGTATTTGTAGTATAATTAGGAAAGCATACTTTCCAGGTTAATTCCCTATGGCAGAAGAGGTAAGACAAGAAATGAAGACAACCTGTAGTCTAGGAACTTATACCTACTATCTTAACTTCTCTGTACATTTTGACTGTTAGAGCTTTAAGAACATGTTTTTAGTGTCTTCCGGATTTATTTGAAGAGCCATGTCACTAATTCATCATTCTTTCTTTTTTTCTTTCTTTCTTTCTTTTTTTTTTTAATGGAGGTTAAGAGTAGAGTATATTTATTGGGGAAAGGAAAGCTGTCTGAGAGGACAAAAGGGGGCCCCTGAGCGTTTTGTCTTCCACTACTTTCATACTTTATTGTTGAAAATGTTTTTTTTTTTTTTCGGAACTGGGGATTGAACTCAGGCCTTTGTGCTTGCCAGGGAAGCACTTATTCCACTGAGCCATCTCCCCGGCCCCAAGAATGTATTATTGAAACATACAAGTCATCAACATGACACTAGTAAGATAGCCCTCTGTTCTTAATTTTTAAAAATATGTGTTTATAAACTGGATAGTGACACATGCCTGTAATCCCAACACTTTAGAAAATTGAGTTAGGATAAATTAAAGCTTTAAATGAGGGAGTTAGCAAGACTTTGTATCAAAATAAAAGATACAAAAGGCTGGGCATGTATAGCTCAGTGTCAAGGCCCTGGGTTCAATCCTCTGTTTGTGTTCCCCAAAAGTGTCAGTGATAGGAAATGTGATTTAAAGAAAAAAAGAGGTAATCTCACCCATCTAGGATGTCTATGTCAACGTGTGGACATATTTTAGCCTATTTTACATACTTCTAAATTAAGATTGGACTCTCAGGCTATCTCTGCAGTTTTATAGAATTTATTTATTTATTTATTTACACAAGTTCATTTTTTAAAAAATTTTATTTATTTGTGTGTGTGTGTGTGTGTGTGTGTGTGGCCAGCTCAGCCCACCAGGGGGCGCGGCTGGCTGGCATGTGGTGCTGGGGGATTGAACCGCGGTCCCTGTGCTTTAGCTGAGCTTGTTCTAAGTAGATGCTTTAGACCACTGAGCCATCTCACCAGCCCAGTTTTATAGAATTTAAAAACATTTTCTTCATATATCATTGAATATTCTTCTAAAACAGGGTTTTTCAGTTTCAACTTTTTGACATTTTAGACTGGATAAGTCTTTATTAAGGTGGGCTGTCCTTGCATTATAGGATATTTAGCATTATTGTTGGCCTTTATTTATTATATGCCAGTTTCATGTATTTGGTTATAACAAACAAAAGTGTCTCCAAATATGTCAATGCTCCCTAGAAAGCAAAATCACCTGATTGACATCCTTCCTCTTTTTTTTTTTTTTTTTTTAGAAAACCTAGATTTATTTTTTAAACTATTACAAGGACAAAACAAGTATCATCAGAAGTACTTTATCATCCCAGTTCACTTACAGAAAACTAAACTAAGAAGGTAACAATTAAAGGATATAAGCTAAGAGGCTATAACAAAGCAGACTGGAAAGAACAGGGTGGAAGGAGAAGAAGCTACCCAGAAGCACTTATACCAGGGTAGAATCTGTAACTGGGATGCTCCCCAAGAGACCACCTAGAGAGGTCTGAAATAATCTCCCCCAGATTAGTGAGATGCTTTTCCCTAAATGTCAAGATACTACTGCTGCTTCTGAGACCTCTGCCATTTCTTTCTTTCTTTTTTTTTTTTTTTGGCAGAACCAGGCATTGAACTCAGACCCTTGTGCTTGCCAGGCAAGTGCTTATTCTACTGAGCCATCTCCCTGGCCCCTGCCTTTTCTTTTATGGATAAAAGTATTCTAGAGCCCAAAGACCTGCATTCCCTCTTTTCCCACAACGTCTCTGTAACTTCAGCCTATTTTCCTGCAAAGTTCCTGCTAGTGTGTGCACGATGTATACAGCAAAGGCAGGAATTATAGGCCTAGTCAATGTGTACCTAGACACAAAGTTAGAGAGTAAATGATAAACTACAAATACCTCCATGGTTAAGCTAATTCACCTTTGTTAATAAAGGTCATTGTTTCTTCTGCTGATGACAACTTGATGTCTCAGTATAGTTTATCTTGAAGAACTGCCTTAAGTGAATTTTCGAGAAGGAAAAAGACATTCATCAACCTCTCTTCAGAAGGAAAAGGCACCAAGTTCTCTCCTACAGTAATGAACAGAATCTTAAAGCAATATAAATGACTTTCAGTGATCAACATGTGCATCCTCAAACTGTCCTGCAGCTGTTGGTGTTGTATCTACTTCCATGCCATCTTCATAGTCTCTCACGGAATCTTCTGTGCATACCGCAGCCATGTTATACTGGCTGCTCACAGACTGGGAGAGCGTGCCTTCCAATCTCTAGTGTGACTTGCCCTTCTGCTGGTAAATGGGATAGTCCTTCTTCATAGGTATAAAATGTGGGGATATCCGCTTGTCCTTGTTCTTGTGCTTCCACATCGTACTCCTCACCATCGTAATCATCTGAATCTTCATCCTCAGGATTTGGGTGCAAGGCCTGTCACTTACACATGGCCATGAACATCGCTTCCAATGCTGATTATCACTAGGCACAAATCTAAATTCAGAAATAGGTTCAACATCATCATCACTGTCTTCCTCTTCACCATCATCCAGAGATTCTTTTATTTCTTCTCCAAATTTAGCATTCACCATAATATACAAATGCTCTCGTGGATAGGCATTTAGGTCCCTGGATACAGCATGTAAACTAATGGTGGGGTGTTCCAGTGAGAATCCTAATCCGGAACCATCTAACCAAGACAGGCGGCTCTCGGAGAGGTAAAGGGTGCCGGTACCCAGGCCTTTCCCATTCAGCACGGCATCGGTATCTGGCTGCTGGTGCTGGAGCCCTTCGGCTGGCCCTGGT